TTAGAGTTTTAGGATTAATTTCTATTGACATATCTGCTTAAGACTTACCAAGTGTTTGTTCACTAAGTAGTATCTTACATTTTTGGATTGCTATTAGATGCGTTTTGTCTGCCAGTGAAAGTTAACTAAATAATCCGTGTTAAGTATATAATATGTCATGCAATGGAGGAATAACCAGCATACTTTCTAGCTGGGTTTTATACTGCTACTGTAAATGTTATCCTGTGACTTGGCAGATCGGATAACTTAATCTTTCTTAGGCTTGTGACTAACTTCATTTGATTACTGATTTTGAGAAAATGTTTGCAAGCATAAATAGGTTTCTCCCCTCTCTACTGTAATGAATGCAGTGCTTAGGTTTGTTTTTATTTCTTGCTAATAATTTTTATAGCTTTATATAAATTCTGTAGATGATCATCAGCTCCACACCAAGTTAGATTCTGCAGCCCTGTACCTTCAGCCACTAACACAAACAAGAGTCTGCTTAAGATGATTTCCTGAGCTGGATCTTGAGTACTGGCACTTAAGAGATGTTTGTTCATCTGTGAATGAACTGAGAGCTACTGGAAGACACTGAAGTGGTCAATGTGAACAGTGCTTCAGACAGCTTGTTTTAATCTGCCAAATTGTCCAAAACCTGCAGGTGTCACGGTGAGGCAAGCTTCATCCCAATTTTCTGTCCTAGTGGCTCAGTTCCTTGGCGGTGTGAATGCTAGTAGCCGTATTAAGTATATATGTCCTTCCATAGAAGGACTTCTTCGTCGTGCAAGCTGGCAGTGCTTCTGTAGTGATCTGCTGAAACTTTTTTTAGGTGGGGTGGAAATAAAACATCCAGATATCTAAGGACTTTTTCTGTATCCAAGCAAGTAATGGAACCTGTTTCCAATTCCAATCCAAATAGTTTTGTACCTGAACACTGAAGCCAGGCAAGAATGATGTTATGATCTAAGTACTGCATTAAAAAGAGAGGAAGATATGGTTTTGTATTTTCTGAAGTCTTAGTGATCTGAAATAGAAGCTTGGTCAGATTTCTGACAAATGTATGTCATTATTAATATTTCTATGACCGATTTTATGATTAATATTGTTCTGGGTCTTGATTACATATAACTCACTGAAAAAAAAACCCAACCAACAACAAATCCCTGCTGATGAATGCTGATAGACCGTATCCCTTTATAAACTCTGGAGAAATGCAAAAGGAATAAAAAATGTTCGCTTGTTGGTTTTGGTTTTTTTTTTTCCCCTTGGTCTTCTGCCATGTTCAACATCAACTAGCACTTCTGCTTTGTCTTCCTGCTGTCACATCAGCATAGCAACTGAGTAGGCAAACATGACTAGAACCAGGGAGATATGGTAATGTGGGTTGGTGGCAAAGGATTTACCAGGCCTTTTTTTCCCCAGCTGGGTTGCTGAAGGTTACAGCAGAAGCTTCCAGGTATTGGTGAGGAAAAACTGTTAAGGATGCAGGATTTGATTAGATAGCTTGCCAAACTAGCTGTGCAGGCTCATGCCTGGTTGTACGATGAACTCCAGTTCAGGAGCCACAGAGACAATACGAGTCTCTCAGGGTGGTGTGGAGACAGATTATTAGGAACTTGCTGTTTAAAGTCAGAGTTTAAAGGGAAGGGAGCTTTTCGTTATTTACATAGTCCTGGTGGTCAGAGCATTGGCAAGCAGTGACCTAAGAGGCACAACCATTTTTCCTCCCTGAGAGAGCCTGTGTGCAGGGCTGCTGCAGTGGGAAAAGATGATGGGGGAGAGTGAGCAATTAATATGGCTCTCTGTAGAAAGCTCTCTACAGCAACTAAAGGGAAAGCAGTTAATTGATAACAAGGGTGGATCAAGGGTGCCACTGCAACTTGCAAAGTAGTCTACACCAGTGTCTAATTTCCTTGCAAAAAAAGTGCCTACAAAGTGCCTTTAACTGTTTTATGTCCACATCTCTAGATCTGTTAATAAAAGCATGCCTTTAAAGCTCACAGTTTGGACAAGCTCATGTGATATCTTACTGGCGTAACAATCCACTGTCCCTTGCCCTTTTATATGTTTTCTGTGTTGATGTGACCCCTCCCTTGAAAAAGGCATCAGCTACCTATGAGCATACACAAGATGCTTTAAAATAATAGGTCCTTAAAAAGAAATTATTTTGTGAGATGGTGGTGTTGGATGGATTTAACTGCCACAAAGGTTTGTGCTGCCCAAGATGCTGGCTGTGGAAAGGTTGGGTGCTGTTTGCAAGTAGCTTTAACTTACTGGTTGAGAGAAAGAATGTGGTAGCAACTATTCACCTGCCTGATGTTCTGGTGAAAGGGCATGACCATGATGTGCTCCTGCACGGGACTAAGACTTGAGTTATTATTTTATTCATACGGCAACGTGTGGTGTGCTGGGACTCTGAACTTGAGTGGTAGCCCGCTCTTCTAGAGGATCAGAACTCAGAGTGGCAAACGTGTTTTGAGAGAGCTGGAGTGTATGTCTCTACAAGACCTTATCTAGCTCTTGAATTCAAAGATTTACTTTAAACTACCTTGCATTGCCACAGAAAAGCCTCAGGCACTAGAAGTCTTTGAGAACTGAAGTACATTGACTGTAGTGTGTGGTGTAATATCCAGAAATCTTTCAAGTGCAAGTAATAATAGCAAATTGTGAGTGCCCGCAGCCCCTCCTGGGAAGACTCTTGTGTATTTCTCACTCGCTAGGAGTATAAATCACACCACGTATTGTGGTATAAACCACAATATGAGTGGTTCCATGAGAGAACAGAGCTGCTTATCACACCTGAAAGGGGACAGTCGCTCTCCTTTCTTTGAAGCTTCTTTCCCCCTTGGCTGTGGCTGCTTAGTTTTGTACTATTTCAGTGAATATAGTATCTGAACTAGAAGACCTTAAGGAGAGCACCTTGGTGGAGTGAATAAATCATTCAAACTGTATCCAGCAGTTCAAATGTAAAAGAGATTGATTTTTTTTTTTTAATCTTTGCTTTTCTGAATGTATTATGTTTGTTTCATTATCACTAGATGTCCATTAAGTGCTTTCTGTTCCTCTGTTTGCTTATGGTAGGCAGCTACTCCTGAATAAATTGAGAGGCAATATAGAGAGGGTAGGATTATGTTGGCATGTGATTGTTGACTCACTTTCCAAAGAAAGAATAGGCTCAATTGTATAATCCTTTTTTTTTTCCTTTCGTTCTAGCACATCAGTTCACTATGTTATTGTTTTTATTGCAGCCTGCTAAGTTTGTAGAACAAGCGACTTCTTTGAATGTCAAAGCTGACTTATTTTGTAGCATCACACAGTGAGAAGTGCCTTTTTTAATTATGAACTCTGATATTTTGAACACTGCCTATTAGAAAAAGTACTGTCTATATATAGTATGGCAAAACACTAAGCCAGCAGCAAAATTCTGGTATTTAGGGGTGTGTGTGATAGGCATGTTTCTCCACACCCCCTCCATTCAAACAGTGTGGTCAGAATGCAAATAAAGAGAAGCCCTCACTTCAGAGGGGAGGTGGGGTGTGTGGCTGACGCAATGCTTAGAGGGCGATATTACCTGATGGCAACTGTACTGAATTTCAGACCATATTGAAGACTTTTTCATGTGCCATGCTCTCATGTAAAGAGTGAAATATTTGGGTGGTGAAGTGTGGAGTAAACATTGAGGAAACTGTTCCCTTCTTTTTTTATTTGTAGCAAGAGAAGCTTTCTGACTTTTTTTTTTTTTTAAAAAAAAGCCACAAAGAAGAGGGGAAAATGATTGCAAACCTGCAATCCGTGGGGCAAGAAGCTAGGGGGTTACAGTTCTGCAAGGGGGATCTAAATTAGGTGCTGGGAGAGTTTAATACTGGGATAGGTTGAATGAGGAGGCAGTTTTCTAAGCTGTGTAGTATTGTTTCGACGGTAAACATGGCCAGAGTGGTTAGGTACAACTGGAACAGAGGCAGCAGAGGTAGGCCTCAGTGTAACTGAATTCCCTGTTTAGTAAAATTCCTCAGAAGATTATTTTGAAATAAATCAGGACTGAGGAAGTTCAGATGATTAGTGAATAATTCTGACAAGTTTCACCTTCAGAGTGGGCTGAAACTGTGGTCATTTCATGCAACAAAACTAAGTTTTGGATTATATTGATATAAATCAGTATTTTTTTTCTTCCAAATTAAAGCATTAAACTCTATAATATAGTATTTCTAGAGCTGGCAAGTATTAGGGTAGAGGTTATTGGTAATATTAAAACAGTTTCACTGATCATCTGTCTCCTAGATGTCCCAGATATCCACTTAGATGCCTGGAGTAGTGTGTCTTTTCTGGACTCCCCACTACAAGAGAAATGGAGCCACTGGAGAGAGTCCAGCAAAGGGCCACTAAGATGATGAAGGGACTGGATCATCTCTTCTATGAGGAAAGGCTGATAGGGCTGGGACCACCTAGCTTTTGGAAGAGAAGACTGAGAGGATCTCATTAGTGTGTACAAGTACCTGAAGGGAAGGGTATAAAAGGGAGGGAACCAGGCTCTCTTCAGTCACACCCAGAGCCAGGACCAGAGGCAGTGGACACAAACTGGAACACAGGAGGGTCCACCTGAACATCAGGAAGTGCTTTTTACTGTAAGAGTGGCTGAACACTGGCACAGGTTGCCCAGGGAGGTGGTGGAGTCTTCATCTTTGGAAATATTCAACAGCCGCCTGGACACAGTCCTGGGCAACCAGCTGCAGAGGTCCCTGCCATCCTCAACCATTCTGTGGAGCTTTTCCGAATCAGATTAGTAGCATTTACAGTAGGACTGCTTAAACACTGACTTCAATATGAAGTCATATCCGTCTCTTTCGTTTTTGATGCCGTCACTGAAAACTTCATGCATCAGCCCCATTCTTTCCTCTATTACTCCAGAATCAGTGAAAGTATATGCAAGATTTTCTACTTAAGACACCTAGTAGGCACAATGACATGGTCCCAGCATCTCCTTTGCAGAACAGGATCTTTAATGTACCCTTCCTTTCCAGGTGGTTGGAGGCAAGGTAAAGAAACCAGGCAAGCGAGGTCGTAAACCAGCCAAAATAGACTTGAAGGCAAAACTTGAAAGAAGTCGCCAGAGTGCAAGAGAGTGCAGAGCCAGGAAGAAGCTGAGGTACCAGTACCTGGAAGAGCTGGTTTCAAGCAGAGAGCGAGCCATCTGCGCTCTCAGAGAAGAGCTTGAAATGGTAAGAAACTGTCATTTAACCTAACCCTCAGTACTGTTTAGGACCTGCCCTTGTGGACATTTGGTCTCAAAATCACTGTGACTGAGAGTGGGATTTGGCTAGCCATGAGGTGTCGAAACATCAGTAACAGATGCATTCAGCTGTTTGCCTACTTTGTGTGTTGAATGTGAACCTCATTTTGCAAGTTAATCTGCTGGTTCTGAACTGGAAGCAAGCAAAGAAAATGCCATTGCTTGTAAGTCTGTTGTATTTGAAATGTTTGTTTTGGAAAACCTCTGACAGAGGTAGAAACGGGTAGAGGGTGGGAAGAGATGTGTTAAAATGTCAAGGGTGACGTGTATCCAGAGTGTGTCTTTGCTTCCCACAAACCTTTGTCTCTGTTAGGGACGTTGGTTCTTGTAGCATGCTCTCTGTGTACGTGGTTGCACAGCTGTCCTGTGTTTACAGCACATATAAGTTGGGTGTCTTGGCCAGATAAGCTGCATTAACCAAAGAGAGTGTTTCATCTGGAAATACAGACTCAGCTCCTCAGTGATACTGAGATGCCATTGAAATTTCACTGGAGCTGAGGATGTTGCCTTGACTTTGCATTAGGTTCCTTTGAAAAGGCAGGGCTAATCACTAAGTGAGTAGGGTTAGGATTGGGTGGAAAGTCAGCCAAATGACCACAAGTTTTTCGGTGTGCTTGAGGGTTTGCCAGTGAAGAATTTTAGATGAGGGAACTAGGAATAATGCACATGTGCTGTAACCGTGCCTTGCACAATCAGAAAGGACCTCTTAATAGTCAATCAGCCCCAGAGTCATGTGAAATATTTGTTTTTAATAGGCCATGAACTGGAACGGTATTCTGGCATGCCAGCAGCGAGAAAATGCACAAAGTGTTCCATGTTGTTTAATAATTACAGTATTGTGTCTAGTACAGCCACTGAGTAGCAGTTTATTGACTGAAACAGGATTTACTGAGGCCAGGTACGCAACCATGGACACGTGCTTAGCTCGTTAGTGCTCTACAGTTTTGTAACAGGCTTCAGCCCAGTAAATTCCGACCTTAAATGAATATACCGGAAAGTAAAGATTACAGCTCTGGTTTTGTGCACTAATGTGATCCTGGCAGTTTGCTGATGCCTAATGTGTTTGCATGTTTCAGTATAAGCAGTGGTGCATGGCGATGGACCAAGGGAAAATCCCCTCTGAAATAAAAGCCCTGCTAACTGGAGAGGAGCAGGGCAAAGCACAGCAGAACTCAGCCAAACTTGCCAAGGCTGGGAAGACAGAAGCAAACAGCAGCAATCCGTGTGAGTATCTAGCCTATGATTAATTCGTATTTTGTTACATCTTTTGTGGTGTAGGAGGATGGCTGTGGTGTAGGAAGAAACATAAGGATGTGCTTTTGGGCACAAATAGTTGATTTGAAGCAAAGAGCTTAGTGGGTGGTACAAAGACTCTGTGTAATGTTTACATGGACAACACAGAAATTACACTAGCTAGGAAACTGGGCAGTTATTTTCAAAGACTCAATCCTTCTGTTTCACCAAGGCCTGTAGAGACCTGTGAAGACCTGAGACCTTAATCTTTTACAGCATTTTCTGTTTTCCTAATGCAAGGTAAATGGAGCACATAAAACATAATTGAATTTTAAAAACTCCTGTCATGAAAACATTATTCTAGCTGCAAGCACTCAAAAGTGAGAAATGCTGGACTTGGGATTTCCTGTGGAGTCGTCTTTCTGCTTCGTTTGTGCTTGTTCGGGGAATGAAATAAGGTTCTTCTGGGGATTGGAAGGTGAAAAGATCGTGTGATATAAAGTCATATTCCTGATATGTACATGCAAAGGAACAGTGTTAAGGTGTAGCATGGGCAATTCTGTATCTCGCATCTTCCAATTTTGAAGTATTTCATGCTACAGATTAAATTACACTTTACTCTAGATTTTTTAAAATCTGAATTCCTAGCTTTATGTTTTTAAGAAACAACGTGAAAACCACATTTGTAACTGTAACAATCTTCCCCCATGGTGCATCCTTCACAGGAGGCCAATGCGGAACCTTCCGCGCTGCAGCGGAGATAGCTTGGTAGCTAGCAGAAGAATGCTGTTGTCAGAGAAGTGGATGCATCCTTGGGTGCAGGGGGAAGGATCCCAGACCGCTGTCCTCTCTTTGCTGCTCTCCCCATGAATCTCTTTGATTGTGGCATTCCTAAGCCTGCATGGAGTGGGGTTTTGGGGTAATAGGCGTTTGTTTGAGTGGGACTTTGTTCTTCCTTTCTCAACACCACCCTCCCCAAATACAGCTATGGCAGCTTTTGGGCGTTCCCAGTAAGAGATGGAGGCTACTTTTATGTCAGAGCCTGGAATTAGACTGGCTTTGTGGTCAGTAGTTATGTGGTTGGTAACTGTTGTGGGAGTCTGAGAGGTTATGTAAAACAAAAGCAACGGGAGGATCTCATAGCAGCTTTGCTAAAGCCAAATGGAGTACTGTAGGTTGGAGAGAAGGGACTGGATCAAAAGCTTTCAGTAAGAAGCTTTATAGTAATGTAATTTGTAATCTAAATAAAGAAGTTGCTTTCAGCATCCTTTTATAATGCGGTGTCTCTTTTATGTTATTGAGATTCTTAGAGAGGTGCTAGATATATTCCCTGCTTCTGCCCATACTTCTTTCGTGGGATGTATTTCCCACCCCCCCATGCTCCCGGTAAGGTAGTCAAAGCGTGTCCTTCCACCTTGCTTCCAGCAGTGGAACAACGGCCATCTCCTCCCACCCGTTGTGCTCTGCAATCATTCTGTTTCTACCTGCACTTTGGGCCTTAGTATCTTTCTAGTCTGCAACTTAATATGAATTCTGCTGTGCTATCCTGGTTTCCTAGCCAAAGATAATGCCAAGAACTGGTAGCAAGGAAAACAAGTTGCGTCAGTTTGATTTTTATGATAAGAGAAGTGATGGCAAAAGTCTTGCGGGCTGATTTACTCGTCCCAGATGTTGACAGATAACCTGCTGCTTTCCTTAGTCCGTTTTTTTCTCCTGTATGTGCTTTTTGTGTTTATATGATGCAATGTGGAGAGTGGAGCTCTCAGGATTTTCAGTGGGGGTTTTGCTTGCTTATTCTCTGTTTTGTTTGTGACAATGTCTTTCTCTGTGTTTTATGAAATGCATGGAACGTTTTTAATCTTACGTTTTCTTCTTTGTTTCCTAGAATAAATATTATAGTGAATGACTTTGCTAGACTGAGTGTTGCCGTCTTTTTATTAAACTAATTTGGTCTGTTTAGCATTGTCTCAATTCAGGATTAGTTGAAAGCACTGAAAATAATAAAGTGCCATATTTCAGTGTACAGCACAGTTGTTTTTCAGAATTCCATTCTGAGCACTCATACATTAATCCTTAAGGCATGGTTTTAAGTTTATTCTCTAGACCTTCCACACATGTACTTACTTAGCAATTGCTAGAGATGTTGCATAGACATGGAAAACTACTATGAAAGGTTAAGTAACACTGAAGCAGAGATGGGGAGGATATGAGGGTTCCTCCTGACCCTGAACTGCAATTTGTCCTGAAAGATAGCAACAAAGCTAACAACATCCCGTAAATTTGGGGATTTTTGTCTGTGTTGAATGTTTGCCTGTCCTTTTTCTGTGTTCTCTGGAGCGGAAAAAAAACTAGGCCAGATGTCTAGAACTAGACCCTGTGAACCTTGCAGTTGGATTTTGTAACGTGATCATGCCGGAAGTGTAATATATTATTTTTGGTTAGAATTAGACTTACACAGTCTAGTTTCAAATGTAAACTATGTATTGTAATTAAACATATATTTCAAAGGTTATGCGCATACTTAAATGTCTTTCTGAATCAGGGATGTAGAAAACATGCAGAGGAGTTACAGTATATGTGACCAGAACAGCACCACTCTGCACTAGGTTATGTGACAAATGCAGCTCTGATCTCACCAGAAATAACCCACTTGCTCTCTTCCAACTCCACTCTGTTTTGCTTTCTGTGATACCAAACAAGAAACTTCTCTGGAGTTAAGTTTTCTTTTATGAAGGGAATGAGGAGTTGGAATGTCTCATTGTGATGAGCAACAGTTTTCGTGTGTTCCTCATAGTGGCTCCTGCTTTCCTGTTTAGCCAGCAGCTGGCGTTACAGGATTGTGTTTGGCAAGCCTGGCCCCGGCTCTGTGGCACGAATAGTGGCATCCATGTTCTAACAGGTTTTTTGTGCTTCGTGCATATGGGACAGGGGACATGTTACAGCCTACGTCATCTTAAACAGCTTTCTTGTTTGTTCTGCAAGCCAAAATACATGTGACACATAAGAGGCTCTAACTACAATCTTCCAGCCTGCTCTAGATGCTGTAGTTCAGTACAAAATGTAGGATTCCTAGCAACAATCGTTAATTAAACGAAGTCTTGTGGCTTCCATCACGTGGCAGGTTATGCTATGTTGTAAATATTCTGGGCTTAGATGCATCTCCAGGAGTCTTTTATTTTGGAGTTTGAAATTTAGCAGTTCCTCTTGAAAACTAACAGGAGTGTTTGTGATACATGCTTATTTGGTAGTCTAATGGTTATAGTCTTCATCCACATTGAGGTGGCTCCTAGAAGTGATACAACCAGATCTTCTGGCTAGGAGTCTCATATAGTACCCGAAGTAATGGAGGATAGCTCAGTCTTATCCTTTCTTTGTGTAAGATGGGTACAGCCTTCCACCCATTTCTCCTGCAGTGAGTGTGTGCAGCTGGTTCTCTCTCTCAAACATTGAAGAAAGGAAATAAGCCTGGAAATGCTTCATTTTCCCCACTTGCCATGGAAATCTAATGGTCAGCTAGAACCATTTGCCCAGCTAAAGGTGGGTATCTCTTGGAAACGATCCACAGGCTTCCAAAAATGCTGTCTGTAGTGTTTGGTGTTTACAACACCACTAGAACTCTGTTACAGTAAGGTGTAAGAAGACTGAACTCAGTTGATGATGATGGAGTAACCACTGAACAGTTACACTAATCCTTTTGGAGAATGTAACCCGAGGATTTATCAGATAGTGGAGACTTGATAAGAAAAACATGCAATAAATCTTTTCTGTCTTTATGCTGTATATATGCTTTGTGCATAGAATCCTGAAAAATGAAGTGGACGCATTTCATCGACTCATAAATTAACTGAGAACATTTTGTAATTGTGTGTTTAAAATAAGTGAATAAATAAATCAGTCTGCTTTCCTAATCTGATAATAATAAGTGTTTTTCAAATAATCTGTTTTCTATTAAGTGCTTTTCAAAAGACTATTATAACTTATATCAGAGATGTTTGGGTTTTTTATATATTAGATAAATTCCGAAAAGCTTTTCCCTTTCTTGACAGCTGAAACCTGACTAGCTGTGGGAGAGTGCCTGTGACTGACTTGTTTTTCCTTTTTTTTTTTCCTTTTTACATTTTAGGGTGAAGATTAATCTACATCGATAATGAACCTAGTTCTTCCTGGCATCTCATGAAGAGATGGAGAAGACTTGGCATCATAGTTCCATTTGCTCCTTTCCAAGAAATTATAGTCTTTAAAATTAGCTATAAAATTACTGCTAGTTTAAGGACCAAATGTTTAAGACTAGTCTAAAAATGCAGAAAAATCAGAGGAAAAGCTGAAATAAGAACGCTAGTCCTTCTCATTATGCTTAAGAGTTACAGCATGAGTGACAGAGGACTGACTGATGCAGAAATCCCAGTTGTAGGTAAGGAAGGCAAAACACCAGCTTGTGAGTTTCCTGCCGTTACTGCCACTGAGCATTAATTTCTGAGTTATGTCAATAACTGAGTTTCTTGTGTGGCTGTTGTGGTTTTGTGTTAGAAAACAGAAGCTTCTAATCAGCAAAAAAGTTTGAGGTAGCCCATACTGAACAACAAAGCAGTGGACTAAAATTCAACTGATGCTGTATTTATGTAATGTATAGATTTGTATATGTAGATACCTAAGTAGAATTTGTAATGTCAGTTATAGCTATTGCCTTAAGCAATTTCTGCAAAGGATGTTGCTTGATTATTATTTATACCATTATTTGTATTTTATCTTACTCACTTTAAATTGTAACTAGAAAATGCTGTCATTGTTCAGCTAATGATTTTCAGCAACCCTTCATTTTAAAAAAAAATAATTTAAAAAACCCAAACAACTGACTTTTGGTTACTTTTTTTTCCTCCAGAAAAAGCACTTGGGAGGTAGAAGTTTTGCTTCCATAACTAGTGCAAGATTAGCCCTGCTTTTTTGGATGTCTGCCTGTAACTCTCTCAACTGGCTTAAACCAACACTACTAGCATTGCCTGCTGCATCAAGCAATTCTTGTGTCTTGTCTCTGTATGTTAGGGTGGGTAATGGTGATGTTCTTAACTACGCTGCAGCTGATAGGTATTCTGATGATGAAAGAAATCTGTGAGTAAAAGACAAGTGGATTATAAAAATGTGTGTTTTCATGAGACAGTGTTCAATGTGAACAGAAATAGCTTGCTGTGAGAGGTGCCTTTTTCCATACCTACTTTCTCATGGCAACTTTCAAAATAAATTTTGATCAAGTTCTGCAGTGCTGGCTACAGCAGTGGTGCATATTCCTGTGGTAGAGCACACCAGCAGTGGCCTCCAACTTCACCATCTCCTTATGCGGCACGCTCCGAATGCTTGCTGGTGTAAGAACAATTCTTCCCTACTCCCTATTGAACACGGATCCTGCTGTGTTGATAGGTCAGCGTGTTCTGTTTTGAGTTTCTGGGCTTTTTCTTTCCTCTCTCGTTTGAAATCTGCTTTTCCATATGCATTCCCTTTTCCTTACAGAAACAGAGTCTTCTGTGAATCTCCTTTCTTCCCTGAGTGGCCTGGCAGCTGTTTTCAAAAGCTGTCAAGGGTTCTTTTTCCAGGGGCCTACATAAAAACATGAGTTATTCTGCCATTTCTCTGCCTCTGCACACACGCTGTACCATACCCAGCAACTCACACTGACCACTCCTTCTGCATTTTAAGGTTTCAGTAACATCAGTGTAAATTCCCCTTCTGTATTGCAAGCTTTTAAGACTATCGTCATCCTTTGTAGCTCAGGACCCAGTTCTTGTTTCTCCACATAGCCTAGCGGAAGCAGTGCTGATACCGGCTCACCCCAGAGCAGTTTTTTGCCTTTTCAAGCATTCTTCTGTTTAGCTGTATGATCAGGAGGAAGGCAGCACTGTTAGACAGCAGTTGCAGACAGCAATGACAATGTTGTTCAGTTGTGGATGTTGGGCATGTGCTGAAACAGTTCTGCTACTCACAAAGTTGTCTTTTTTTCACTTGAAACATTGAGATTTGGATTATTCTGTTACTTGTATTTCTGTGAGATTCCAGGTTGCCCAGCGTTTTCACCAGTGACAGTTTTCAGAAAAAAAGGTAAATTCAGCTTGGGCTTATGTACCTGAAACACTCTATGGAGCTAGGAGGGAATTCATTTGTGAGAAAGAAAACTTTG